TTGCCGATGGATGTAGTTAGTATTCTTTAACCAGAATTGGAGAAATGGAAATGGTAAATGTCAATTTGTTGCAGATAATGAAAATATTAATGTTAAAGTAATTTATTTATTATAAAACCTGATCCAGAATCAAAAACATCTCTTAAAAAAATGAAAAATTAGTTACAATGTATTACTTCCAACTCCCATTCAAGAAATGTTAGAATTTCAGATCAAATGTTTCGACCTTTAGAAATAATAACAAAAATATCCTTTCATAAAAAATGAAAAAAAAAGAATCATAATAATAAGATTATTTCATAAGCTTGTGGTTCATAAGAGGAAAAGGATTTATGAGAATTCATAATAAACTATGTTTAACAAGTCAATTAGATTATGTTCAACTTAGAGATATTGAAAAATGAAGAAATAATCAATTTATCCAAATAAAATCAATTATTATGCTAAAAAAATATTTACCATAAAATTATAATATACAGTTTAGTCAAAATCAAAATATCATTTAAAATTGTTAAAAGTCAGCAGATATAATAAATTATATTGATTTATTATATTATATTTAGCCAAATGGAAATTTTATTTTCTAGAAAAAATGATTGACTAAATCAAGATTTGAAGCTTAAATAATGATGATACTGTATGGTCAACAATTATAGCTCTTTTATTTAGAATTGAATTGTTATTCTGATAAAGCTTCATGGTTATATGGTGATTAATTTAGTAAAAGCAATAACTTATTTAAAGAAAATTGTTTAGTTACATTCAGATAAAAAATGATTAATTTAATAATTATAAAAAATTATTTGAAGTATCAAATTGAATTAATATACAAGGAATTATTAATATTAAAATTTGATGATGCAGTTCAATAGTATTTTGTATTTAGTGAATTTTCAGAATTCCACCTCAAAAACTGAAACCTTTTTAATTTTAATCTTTCTTTTCTTTATAGTAGACATAAATCTAAAAGAATTTCTTCTGAACAATTTAAAATAATATGATCTAAGTAAACTTTATTACAAAATTGCTAAAAAAATAAATTCATTTTATAAAGATTTCTTTATAAAACATGCAATTAAGTATTTTATCAATTTATTGAATTAAATCTTACTAATGCAATAAATGGATTTACAGAATTTTTTTAATTAAAAATATTAAGATTACAAAAATGTTAGTTAATTTATATTTAGACCATGTTGGAGATATTAATTAATTGCTAATTGTAGACTTTCAAGTATTTTTTTAACAACCCTAACTATAACAATCTTAATAAATTAGGGATCTGAATTCCCAATTCTCACACTCTGGGTAATGTTTTTACTTTATAAATATGAAGTTTAAAGAATTACTGTAGAATTATATTCAGATAATTTTCATAAATTTTTGATTTTTTGTTTCACCTCATAAAAATTATGTATATTATTTCTCTTCTTCTCTTAATAATTACAATCCTTCCGATTAATAAATCAGCAAAATAACTAATTTTTTATTAAAACTGTACCTCATTTCATTTACTTTAGAAAGCTGTAGAATTTTTTTATTTTTTTCAAATTTTTATAATTTAAGAGTTGATTATTTATGATCAATAGAGCTAATTGTATAAAAATAGATGATCATAGTTGAGAGTAATCATGAAATTAAAAATTGACTTAAAGAAATCAAAGTGAAAACCATATATTGTTTGATTAAGAAAATAGAATTGAAAGGCTTAACATTTTCTAAGTCCTTAGTGTTTAAAGCGCTTAATAATTAAGGAATTTAAGAAGAAGAGGTCTTGATTAGGATTTTGATTTAATTGTTTGAATAAAAAAGGATAGATTTCAGCATATTTTGGTCAAAATTGATCTATAAAAAAATACAATAATGTCTCTAGTTAATTCAATATTAATGATCAATTCTTCAAGGTAAACAAAATCAATTATTCTTTCTAATTTAATGCTGCAGTTTTTCATGAATTAGAAATTTTTTCTTTAAGAGAGAAAATTAATTTTGTTATAAAACAATTCAATTAGGTATTATAAAATAAATCAGAACTGAAGCTTGCAAGAATATTAATAAATATAGTAATAACAGCAATCGGAGCGAATATTACGGGTCTGATTTTTCTTCAAACAAAGTGATCAGGAATAGATGGTAATTGTCATCTGCATTTTCTTTTGTATATACAACCATAAAATTATAATTGAATATTCAATCTAATCCAAAGATTTTATTCTTCTGTAATGGCATTGAAATTTTCATGTATTCATCAAAGAAGAGTTAAGTTATGCATTTTGTGATTTTTTCTTATAAACTTTTAAAAGTTTTCCACAATTTTTCTATTGGGTTCAACTGCCTCAAGAAATAGTTTTGTGGAATTATTTTTATTATTTTGAAATCAAATTTTAATTTTATATTCGCTTTTATATAAATTAGATGGAAAAAAATTCATAATGTAAAATGAGATATTTAAGAAATTTAATAATGATGAAAAATTGATAGGTCTAAAGAGAGATGATCTGAAGTAAAATAAATAATTTATTAAGTAATATTAAATGAGAGATGAATCTATCGGACGAAAGAAATACTTGAAAATTTTAAAAAAACTTAATAACAAACAAGTAAATGAGAATATATATGGGTTGCACAATAAAAATTATTAAATGGAAATCAAAACTTTAAAGGAAACGAGATGAGTCTGAAACATAGCCCTTGTAATAATAACAAGTTTTGGATGTTCCAATATTCAATAAGCAAGAAAAAGAATGATAAATTTATATTTAAATAAATTATTACTCAAAACACAACGTATGTATTTAATATTCTTGGGGCTTTATGAACAATTGTATTTTGACACTAATTATGAATGCTGAAAAATATTAATGTTGAAAAAATGAAGAATAATATTTGAAATCATAAATAAATGTTGGTTAAATAAAGAAAACCCATATAAAACAAAGTATTATCACCTTATTTAATTAATTAGGGTGTTAAAACAACACTGTGATGGCAAGCCTTTTGAACTTGTTCTTGATAATAGTCCTATAAACAAGTCAAAAAGAGTGGCAAATTTGTTGAATGCAGTGTAATACATTTGGTTACCACCATACACACCCAGTTGAATTCAATAGAAAAATTGTGGAATACTTTTATATAGTTTATTAGAAAAATATCACAAATACATATTTTAACTCTTCATCGATGAATACATGAACATTTCAATGCCATTACAGAAGAATAATTGAATCACTAGATATCAGCTACTTTATACTTTCATTAAATTATTGTTTGTATTTTCTTAGCTATTGCGGGAGATAAAATGGGCCATTCTTGATGGAATAAATTAAAGTTATATAATTTGATTAACCTTATTTAATTTTTCTATTTAGAAATTGTTATATCCATTTTTTTAGAGTTTCTTCACAATATCTAAATTTTTGTATAATTCAATATAAACTCTAATTTTAACAAAAATAATTGAGCTAATTTTCGAATTTCTCCTTTTGCGCAACTAAAGTCCTAACCTTTTTATTTTAAAA